ATTCTTCTCTATTACTGTCTCTATTTCTCTCTGTCTTTCTCTCTCTCATTCTCCCCCCTCCCTCTCTCCCTCCCTCTCTCTCTTTCTCTCTTTGTTTTTCTCTCTTTCTCTTTCTGTCTTTTCTCTCTTTTTCTATTTCTCTCTTTCTATTTCTGTTTCTATTTCTCCCTCTCTCTTTTTCTCTCTCTTTTTCTATTCTTCTCTATTACTGTTTCTATTTCTCCCTGTCTTTCTCTCTTTCTCTTTCTCCATTTCTCTTTCTCACTTTCTCTTTTTCTTTCTCTTCTCTCTTGTTCTCTTTTTCTCTTGTTCTCTTTCTCTTTGTCTCTCTTTCTTCCTCTTCCTCTTCTCTTTTTCTCATTCTCTTTCATTCTCTCGTTCTCTCGTTCTCTCTCTGTCTGATTTCTCTTAACCCCCTCCTGCAAGGGGCTCTGCTCCCCGAAGCAACGTAATGGTGTGCGTATTCCCAACACGGGTTGGGCAGATCTGGGTCGGAACAGCTGATGCGTGAACTCCGACATCCCCTGGGCTGGGCCGAAAACTCCTGTTTTTCCAGCCAGGATGACTCACCCAGCCGTATCCCGCACGGTCTCTTTCGCTTAGTCATTTTCCTGTCTTCGGTGTGCGGATCCCTGGTTGAGCAGGGATCGATGAGCTCAGCTCAAAGGCAATGTTGCACAACCCGAATTTCAGCCGGATTGTGGGTTCAGCTTCCCACCCAGGTTCGCACAACGGACCAAGTTACAGCCGCTTGGGCTCGGCCTCCTGTGCGAAGCTGGGGGCCTGAAAACCAGGAATGATGGTTTAGTGTTATAGGTAGGGCCTCAGCTTACAACCTGTTGTGGTTTGCCGGCAGCCAGTGCAGGCAGGAGCAGAATTGGACAGTGGGGAAGAACGGGGACCAGGCAAGGAGCCTGGAGAGGTAATGAGCGTCTGTATAGGTAAACCAGGTTATAAATGAACCTGCTGAGGTAGCAAACCAGGTTAAACGTCAAAGCAGCCTCCCCAATGCAAGTCTCGAACCGATCGCAGCGCCGATGCCTCGAATTTTTCAAACCCACGTTCTTCGCTTCTCTACAGGTGACAATAAACCCATCTGGATGCACGCCGAGGAACGGGAAGAATGTAAGGTAGTTTGGGGTTTGGCGCAGAGTTCAAAAGCCAGCTTGTTTTAAACCCAGGATTTGGGGATTCCTGCTTGGCCGGGGGTGGGGTGGGTGGGGGGTTGGACTAGATGACCTACGAGGTTCCCTTCCAACACCGATCTTGTTTCCCCCGCTCCAGGATAAGTACCGAGAAAACAGCGCCCCTTACAGAGAGTATGGCAGCTGGTATAAAGCCTGCAAGGTAGACAGGTGAGTGGAGAAAGCCGACCCTTGAATCGGAAGGGAGAGAATTGGCTTTTCAGGAAGTGGGCGGACGGTGGCGTCAGAACCACGAGGTTTGTCTGTTTGTGCGCCCCGTCCCAATAAGCCGACTTCGGGCTCTGTCTGGTGGTGTAGCCGCCACTTGGAGTGGCCGTGAACCTTGAGCCGGGTGGCAAAAAAACGATTGGACAGCCGTTTGGTTCCACGTGGTATATATAGGATCTTGTGCTTGGGCTAGAAGACCTCAAAGGTCCCTTCCAATTCTTTCGTTCCCTTCCTTCCTTCTTTCTTCCTTCCTTCCTTCCTTCCTTCCTTCCTTCCTTCCTTCCTTCCTTCCTTTCTTCCTTCCTTTCTTTCATTCTTTCCTCCCTCCCTCCCTCTCTTCCTTCCTTCCTTCCTTCTTCCTGCTTTCCTTCCTTCCTTCCTCCCTCCCTCCCTCCCTTCCTTCTTCCTGCTTCCACCCTTCCTTCCTTCCTTCCTTCCTTCCTTCCTTCCTTCCTTCCTTCCTTCCTTCCTCCCTTCCTTCCTAGAAATGTTTTAAGAAGAGATTGGACAGCCGTTTTTCCAACCTGGTATGTAGGGTCGCCTGCTTGAGCAGTGTTAGCCATACCAGCGTTCTCAGGATCTGGGCATTTGGCAAGCAGCTCACTTTTGTAAAACCGTTGTAGCTCCATTCACTTAACAACGGAACTCGCTTCCCTGACCTCCCCCTGCCTTTGATTCTCTCTCTCCCCCCCCCCCCCCCCCACTCCCAGCCTGACCGTCAACGCCACCCTAAAAAGTTTGGGATCCCTATATCGGCGCCAGGGCAAAGTGGAAGCCGCCGAAACGCTGGAAGAATGTGCCCAAAAGTCGCGTAAACAGGTAAGAGGCCGTTTTGTTCTTTCCATGGGATGAAAATGGGATCACCCAATACGGGTAGTTCCTCAGCTTACAAAATGGTTTGTTTAATGACGGTTCGAAGCCACAACTGAAAAAAAAACTAAAAAAAAACTGGGATGACGCAAAGGGGCGTGGGCACAAAAGCAACACAGTCAAATAAGCAAGAAGAATCTCTTTATTCGCTCCAACTTTGCCCCCGATGTCCAGTTACCTTCGGCAGGAGAAAAACTACTTTGGATTTCCAGCAAAACCGGCCCCCCAGTAATGGTTGTACTGGTTGACTGTTCTTGTGCCATTGGTAGTTTAACAATACACCGCAATCAGCTGGCTGAATATGAAACTCTATATTCACACTGATTCTTAATATCTCTCTGGGCCCATAACCAATGTTATGATACGTACAGAATAACCCTTGAGTAACAAGGATACACACATGGTAACCTGGGAGTAGCTATGAAGAATTATTCAGCCACACGCAGATACACTAAATCGGGTTAAAGTTTACTTTAAGAAACAGCACAGTCCGATAAACGGTTCTAAATAAAGGGGGAGAATGTTAGGAATTTGCCCACTCATTAGTTGGGTTGGCAACATATAAACCAACAATGTTTTTTTGTAGCCTAAAAACAAAACCACTGTAATATTCCAATTGGTGGGTTGTATTGCAAGTTGCCATAAGAGGGAGCTAGAGAAATCATAGCTTGCTCTCTCTGACATTCTGTTGCTATCTAAGGTTCTCTGTTGTGCTTATACTTTGATATCTTTGCTTACTGTAAATGACAAAGGCAACCGGTAAGAAGACTTTGTAATTGGATATTCTTTGAACTGTAAAACGTATATGACCTGGACTGTTTATTGGACTGTGCTATTTCTTAAAGTAAACTTTAACTCAATTTAGGGTATCTTGAGTGTGGCTGAACGGTTATCCATAACTACTCTCATAAAGGTTTCCGTGGGCATATCCTTGCTACTCCGGGGTTATTCCGTACATATCATAACGACACAGATTAAATATTTCAACCCTTTCCTGTGCGTTCCCAGGGCATGGACGCTTTCAACCAAAGCAAAATCGTGGAGCTTCTAAAGGACGGGAACCGTGCCGAACAGCGACCGAACCGCGACGGGGCTCCCGGCGCCAGGAAGTGCGAGAACGAGAATGAATCAGAAGAAGGCATAGCTGAATGGTCTGGGGTGAGAGAGAGAGAGATGGAGAGAGACGGAGAGGAGAGAAAGAGAGAGAGAGAGACAGATGGAAAGGAGAGAGACAGGAGAGAGACAGGAGAGAGAGAGAGAGAGAGCAGTGACAGAGGAGAGAAAGAGAGAGAGACAGATGGAAAGGAGAGAGAGAGAGAGAGAGAGGAGAGAAAGAAACAGTGATACAGATGGAGAGGAGAGAGAGAGAGAGAGAGCGGCGACAGAGAGGAGAAAGAGAGAGAGAGGAGAGGCAGAGAGAAAGGAGAGAGAAACAGTGATACAGATGGAGAGAAGAGAGAGAGACAGAGAGGAGAGATGGAGACAGAGAGAGAGAGACCTAACCTACAGAATTTACTTGTAAAAATGAGGAGAGCAGAAGAAAATTCAACAAATGTAGAATTGAGGGGTTTTGTCTGTGGATGGTTGCTGTGTTCACGCGAAAAAAACCCAGGTTCGCTTAAAGTACCGTGGCCTGGAGTTCCAGAACTCGCTAAACTGGGTTAAACCTCCAAAAAGATTCAAACCGCATGACAGCTTAGTGCAGTTCCTCAACTTCAGCCATTTTAAAAGGTGTGGACTTCCTCTTCCAGAATTCCCCCCATCCAGCATGCTGGCTGAGGAATTCTGGGAGTTGAAGTCCACGTATTTTAAAGCATCCTGGATAAGGAATTCTGGGAGTTGAATTCCAGCCGCTTTAAAGCATGTTCGTTGGGGGATTCTGGGAGTTTAAAATCTACATGCCTGAAAGCTTGCTGGCTGGGGAATTCTGGGAGTTGGAAGTCCACAGCTCTTTGAAAGCAAGTTGACTA